CCACAGATACCTACGAAGATACCCCTGAGCGGCACAACTCTACCACAGTGTTCTTTCTCCGTAACGACTAACGAATATGGTCGATCAAGATTTGAATCCTGCCATGGATGAGCTGGAGCAGGGTAGTCCTATGTCCGGGGTTGAAAATGGAAAGCGGGAGCAGGTGGAGGACGTCGAGGAGATGGATGCCAAATCGAAGGCTCTGATGCACCTTTTGAATACAAGCGAGGTATGTTTTCCTCTATCTTATGCTATCTTTACTATGGGATGAAACACTGACTGTTCGGCCACTATCGTAGGTCTTTGTGGCGATTATGGCAGATAAGATGAAGAAGCAGCAGGAAGAGGCCCGGCTTGAAGCGGCGAAGCAGCAGCAGCAGCAACAGCAAAAGCCAACAGAAGATCAAAAGAAGCCAACCGCCACACGCTCAGTTGCGAGACGAGAGACGCGCGCGAGAGCGAAGCAGCCGTCCGCAGATGAGACAACACCTGCTGTGAGCGAGCAACCAGATGAAAAGACAGCCACAAGGTCGAGAAGAGGCAGAGGCAAGAAGGGTGCTTCCGCGACGAACGGTAACAGCATTGCAAGTTATTTCAAGAAAGCGGATATGGAGGACCCTGAAGACAAACCGACGGTACAGGAAGCCCTAGAACATGCTGCAGACGAGTATGAGGCCAATCCCAGTGCTCTGGGTGGGCAAGATCTTGTCGCCACCCAGCAACCGGAGCTTGTTACTGGAGGAAGAATGCGCAAGTACCAGTTGGAAGGACTGGAGTGGCTCAAGTCGCTTTGGATGAATGGCTTGTGTGGGATTCTGGCCGACGAGATGGGCCTTGGGAAAACAGTCCAGGCAATCTCGTTGATTGCTTTCTTCAAGGAGAAGAACGTCTCCGGACCTTTTATGATTGCGGCTCCGTTGAGCACGGTCAGCAACTGGGTAGATGAGTTCGCGAGATGGACCCCGAGCATCAAGACGGTCTTGTACCATGGCTCCAAAGACGAACGTGCCACAATCCGCAGGAACTTGATGAAGCTAAAGGACCAGAAGAGTGCAGATTTTCCGGTTGTTTGCACATCCTATGAGATCTGTATGAACGATCGAAAGTTCCTCGCGCAATACCAATGGCGATATATCATTGTTGTAAGTCCTGCTCTACCATCCACATGAAAGGGGTGTGCATCTCTAACCTGAGACCAGGACGAAGGTCATCGCCTGAAGAATATGAACTGCAAGCTCATTAAGGAGCTTCTCTCGTACAACTCTGCAAACCGACTGCTGATCACTGGTACACCACTACAGAACAACATTACCGAGCTGTGGTCACTGTTGCACTTTCTGCTGCCGGAGATTTTCAATGACCTCAACAGTTTCCAAAGCTGGTTTGACTTTTCCTCAATGCTCGATAGCAATGGGCAAACGGATGTCATAGAGCGTCGGAAACGCACACTTGTCTCCACCATGCATTCAATCCTGAAGCCCTTCCTTCTGCGGCGGGTTAAGACCGACGTGGAGACTGCCTTACCAAAGAAACGCGAATACATTCTTTATGCCCCTCTCACAGCGGAGCAGAAGGATTTGTATCGCGAGATTCTTAATGGCACGGGCCGTCAATATCTCGAGGATAAAGCCGCGGAACGACTCATGGCCAAGAATGAGAGATTGTCCCGTTCGGCAAGCCTAAAACGCAGTGCCGACAGTAGTAACTCGTCGACCCCCAACAAGAGCCTTAAATCCAGCAGAGATTCAACTCCAGCCAGTGTGGCTAGTTCAACCCGCAGGCGTAGGGCCCCCCAAAACTACAAAGAGTTAAGTGACCGCGAATTCAATGCGCAATTACGCCGCCTTGAGCAAGGCTTGGAAGACGATTTGGACATACAACAGAGCCCTATCGATACTGAGCAAGAGGAAATCGAAAGAGCAAATACTATCAAGCTTGCTAGTATGTATATGGCTGGCTCGAACTTAGTGGCCACTGACTCGTGCTAACGAACCTACACAGAGAAAGAAATCGCTCAGAAGAAAATGCAGAATCCGGTCATGCAAGCCCGTCTCGCCTGTAACTCTCCGCATAATTTCTACTGGCCATGGAGCGACGACCCGGCCGCCATCGACGAGACTCTTGTCACCGCATCGGGCAAGATGCTCCTTCTCGACCGCCTCGTGCCTTGTCTCCTGAAGAAGGGGCACAAGATCCTCATATTCTCACAGTTCAAAACACAGCTCGACATTCTTCAAGATTGGGCCACCCAGCTTCGCGGCTGGAACTGCTGCCGCATCGACGGCGCCATCAGCCAGACAGACCGTCAAGCCCAAATCAAAGCCTTCAACTCAGACACGGGCTACAAGATCTTCCTGCTGAGCACGCGAGCAGGAGGCCAGGGCATTAACCTTGTCGCCGCCGACACGGTAATCCTCTACGACTCAGACTGGAACCCCCAGCAAGACCTCCAAGCACAAGACCGCGCGCACCGCATTGGCCAAACAAAACCCGTCATCGTCTACAGACTCGCAACCAAAGGAACCGTCGAACAGACTCTCCTCGAGAAAGCGGACTCGAAGCGCCGTCTCGAACGCCTCGTCATCCAAAAGGGCAAGTTCAGAAGTCTCCTGGACTCGAGCTCGGTGAGTCACAGCGACGTAGAAGAGCTCAAGAGGGCTCTCGGTGAAGACGAATTCGAGCGCTTCGAGACAGGTGCTGACCCCACCGCGCTGCTGTCGCAAAAGGATCTGGATATTTTGACCGATCGCAGCGAGGAGGCGTATGCGCGTGCCGAGAAGGGCCTGGATCAGACTGGGCGTGCGTTCAAGGCTGTCGAGACGAAGAAAGAGGGGAACTCCCTCATGGCTCAAATTACTGGGAAATAGAGTATTCTGGATGATTCCTTGGGGTTTGGGATAAATCTGTTGTTGTGTCAATCACGCCGAAGTTCGGCTTCCGCTTCTTGATCAGGCGTTATGACGGTTGGATACGGTAGGCGTTGGAGTTGGTGAAAAGGATATCGTTTGATGTACAACAGTTAGAAACCAGGTCCTAATACTTGCTGAATAGGACTTGGTCCACCCGTACATCACGAGGAGAATACAAAATAATCATCCATTTAGCGCCTATGCTCCTCGCCAAGAGAATGGCTGTACACGAATTGGCCACAAATACAAAAGAACCCGCCGGCAAGCATGCAAAGAGAGGAAGTCAAGTAGTATCTAGCAGTAGGGGAAAAATGGCCAAAAGATATTACCGCCGTGCCCTTTCCTCCTCAATCTGACTCCTTAGATCAGCAAGGACTTCTTTCCGCTGCGCGAGATGACTCTTCAACCCCTCAACTTGCTCCCCGACGGTCCTGATGTCCTCCCGTAACCGCTCCAGATCCTGCCCCGCCTTCGCTCTCCCCGTGCCTTCTCGCAGCTCCCGGAGCTCACGCTCTTTGTATTCCAAAAGCTGAAGCGCCTCCTTTTTGATGAGGGTCCAGTTAGGCCGGCCGTCGTTCCGGGGCCGATCCCTGCGGCCTTCGGAGGCCTTATTGGCGGCATCAAGCTTGGCCTGCAGTTCTGAGAGCTCGCGCCGCAGACGCACCTTCTCCCATTCTTCGTCCTGGATTGTGTCGCTGAAGTCCGTGCCCTTGGGCGTGTAGGAGCCCTTGCCGCCCACGCCCAAGCGGCTCAGATACGTGTCGCCGAACTTGGCTTTGCGCCCTGTTGGGGTCTCCCTGTCTCCGTCTGCACCCCACCTTTGTGCGGGGCGGGCATTGTCGATTTGGTAGTCGATCTTGTTGTTCTCGAAGGAGGCGCGGAGAGAGGCGGGGATGGTGCGGGGGATGCGGAAGCCCTCGTGCCGGTAGTTGAGGATGTGCAGGAAGGCAAGGGTGGCGTCTTTGTTGATTGCGAGGGAGGCAGAGGGGTTGACTAGGTTCCAGGCGGATCGGATATCGGTGTCCGGGACGTCGAGGGAGTCGTACAAGCCTTGTAGTGATTCAACTGTAACCAGGGTTAGCCTTGAAGGGATGTTACGGGGGGTGAATGCGACTAGGCCAGGGGGATGGTGAGCTGTACGTACATGTAATCTCGCCACGGTGGTTACGATTGGCAGAATAGATCTCTTCGTATTTTGATTTGTCAGAGGGTTTCATGTACCAGTCGAAGCCGTCCTTCAAGCCTGGTGTGTCGTCTTCATCTTCTATGCGCTCAAATTGCTCTGGACGATCGCTCAGCGCACGGCCAGCTTGGACGAGGTGGGCTTTCGTCTCGGGGACGAGCCAGTCGGGTAACACTCGAGGGACTGCTTGTAATTCCTGTTCAGCGAGTCCAGTTAGTGGATGATCACAATTCGCACCGCGCAAGACAGTTCACAACAAAGCGCAACGAAGCTCGATATCAGTGACTTACCCCATTGACAAGGTCGAAGACTAATCGCATAGCAACGCAAAACTCCTCAAAGTCCAGCTCTCCATCACCGTCAACATCCGCCAAATCCCATACTTTCTCAAGCTGATCATCGCTAAGCCGGCTGTTCCTGAGTACCGAGGCCGCTTGGGAGCTATTTAGACGCGGATGGCCATTTGCCAATGAAGAGAAGATCTCCCAGTACCGTTCAATTTCCCACTGTTCAATCTTCTTGTTTGACATGGTGGAATTACGGAGTCGCTGGAACTGTGAGTATTGCAATTGGATATCTCCGGAATCCGGATATTAAGAATCCTGTACGGGGTATTGGAGGTGTGGTGATGATAAGACCCCGTTACCCATTTCGGGCATCCCGCAGTGGCTCCGATGGGGCACCCGGAACAACTTGGTTCCGTCAGGGGAAAAGTACGATAGGTAACTACCGGGGCACGTGATGTCCATTCCCCTATTAACGAATGTTCCTATCTATAACGATGGTTTTGTACGTCAGAAGATCAGCAACCACATATGGCGATGGTTTGATAGATATTTGATTAGATCTAGCTGAAGTAGTATGGTCTAGCACAGATGGAAGTAGTACATAACTCCCCAGGTCTATCCCTAAGCAGCTGCCCTTCTTACTGGTCCAATGGCTGGAACCAAAATCATCTCGTCCTCTTCCTCCTCTTCTTCTGCATCCTCCCAATCATCGTCACTTTTCTCGCTGTGATTGTCGTCAAGGAATTCGAAAGTGTTGGTGACGGTGGTCAGTGGTGTCGTGGGCGAGTATGCCGCTGCACCATCCGAAGATGTTTCCCAGCAGCTACTTCCAGGGCTGTCGAAGACAGGGTCTGTTCGTGGGGTTCTTGCTTCGCTGAACGGTGCGAAGTCATCTTCACCACTCTGGACATAATCGACACTCATGGGTGACATAACTCTACCGGGTGTTGTTGGCCTTGAAGGAAGGTGGACATCTGTGAGATTGATGCATGGTATGGCCTCAGAAAGCTCCGAATGCCGGTCAGTGTCTACACCCGAGTCCAACGTTTCCACGGGCTCGCTTCTGTCTGGGTCGAATGTGGCCTGTTGTAACTCTCGCTGGAATTTCTTCCAACAGGAAATCAAAGATGTATCGTCGAGCTCGAGTAAACCTCGCTGCCAATCCTCTAGCGACTGCGTGAAAACATTCATAGCGGAATGACTTAAATTTGCAGCCAAGGTTGATGTCGTGCCAGCACCTCCATCAAATTTTCCAGGACTTGATGATGCTTTATAAAAGACATCGAGAGGTGGTACGGACCGTACCAATCTTCGCGGATGAGCAGACTTCTTCCATGCTTGGAAAAACTTAGCTCGTGGTTGGCCGAGTTTTAAGCAGACGATCAGTCGTCGGGTACGTTCTCCACGATGATAAAGTTTGCGAGGAGGCAGATCTCTTTCCTGGTACTGTAACAGAGCTCCTTCAATATATTCAGTTGTGTGAATGATGCGATGGGGAGGAGTAGCCGGATTAGGCCTACTAGAATCAGCGAAATCGTGTCCATGGTCGTTTATAGTGATCGAACCAACCCCGAACGGAGTCACTGGTCCTGTGACAATCGAATCTCCTTGGCTCTCCCTTCTCTCGGCATCAGATCCATCTTCAGCCCTCGGCCAAGTCACGATACTGCCACTCCATTCCCCGGCATAATGTCTTTCGATCTCACGCCTTTGCAAGAATCGTCTGGCGTTCAAAAGTTCCCCAACCTCGCACAGCAGATAGTCTGTTTCCAGGCTGCCTCTGAGCCTTTGAGCGGTCTTGCGGGAAATTTTGCGAAAGACCAGCTTGTGTGGTGTCCTGTTGCGACTCCCCGAGCTATTATCGATTCTGAGGAGGGCTCTGAGTTGCTTTGCCCTCATCGCATGCAGCGCCGAGTCTTCCATCGCAACTTGGCGGTCACGGCGCCTGATGAGTTCCTGTAACTCCTCGCGTTCCGTTTCCCTCAAGCCAAGCTTGCTATAGACTGTGGACCATCTGTAGTGTTGGCTGAGGTTGATGGCGATCTCTGCTTGCAAGCTCGGAGAAAGGTCAGACCATTCTGGATCGTGAATGAACCTGATGGACTTAGGAAGAGTCAGCACGGGAATAGGACGTATACTCTGCCAAGACGCATACCTCTGCGTGACGGCCATCTACGTCTGTCATCGGCTCGTCAGGATCGCTATCTGCCATGTCTAAATCAGAAGAAGACGACGTCTCTGCAGCTGCCATGATTGCCATGTTTCTGACGTAGATAGGATTGAGTTCCCCATTGCTCGCTATGAGATCCTCAAGCTCATCAATTGAGATATCGTCAAGTTTCTCCCATGTCTCTTTATCTTCCGTATTGCTCCCGTGAAAGTCAATTGAGCTGGCGTCGCGTTGCAGCCCTTTAGCTACGCCATTCTGCTCAACTTTCGCCCGATCTTGTTCACGGGTCCTCGATTGAGCGAGATTGGCCGGTTCAAGCGTGGGGAATGCAGCAGGAGGTAGGTGCGGATTGTAATCGACAAAGCGAGGGGTTCTCAGGTTTCTGGGTTCGCGCAAAGTCTTCTTTGGTGATGGTGTAATGATTAGCTCGGAGTTGAAGCGCTCAGGTGGCCGGATACTCTCGCGGAGTCTCATGGTGAGCTCAATTCTGGAGACACAGATAGATGGCGTCTGGCACTGGACGCGCACTGACAACTTAGCAAGGTCATGAAATGAGGCCATAAGCAAGGAAAACAAACCAGTGTGCTTCCTAGAAGAAGCAGTGCCCCTGTCTCTGTGCAGAAGCTGAAGAAGGCCGCCTTTCCAGGTTCGAAGCCGTCAGACAAGGTGTTGTACAGCGGATATGAGGAAGAAAAATGGGAAAGGAACGATAACAGAAATGGAGCTGTATTTCTTGGATCAAATGACAATAATGATCCCTTTGTAAAATGTTGAATTGTAGCTACTTAAGCAAAATAGGATCTTTCAGGATAGTAGCAGGATGTTAACGCAGTGCATCACAGGGGCGAGTGATGTTTGGGTATCTCCGAATTGGGAAACACAGAAAAAAGTCACAAGAAAGAGGAAGAAGAAAAACAAGTCATGCCGAGACGTCAACTAAACATTCACCTGAGAAGCGCAGTTCCCATGTTGCAAGGCAGATCATTCACGCTAATCAATCCGAACGGTCTTGGAATGGAGCAAGAGGCTTTCTACTATCAATTGAACCGTCATCCATAATATTCACATTCATGTCCATGTCCATTCCCACCATATCACCATCCGTAGTTGTAGTCTCATCAAGTCGATCAGCAATGCTTCTTTTTCTAGACACGGTCGCTTGAGGGATTCCTAGAGTCGAGTCCGACGTAGACGCTTGAATGGCCTTATGCACATCCCGTTTGGCATCAAGGATAGACTGGAAGGACGCGAGGAGCTCTCTCAGTGGTTCCTCAACGCAGATACAGAATCTTCGAAGCTGGACGAGATGTGACGCGACTGCCATGTTCAGGCTGAGCATAACCATCATATATGCGATGACGACCGTGGCTGAGCGCTCGTTGCCAGACTCACAGAAGACAAAGATCTTCTTTCCTGGTGCGCTGGAGTGAACAGCGGGCCCAGACGACACGAGATGGTCGTTGATGCGGCGTATAGCATAAGGAAATGCCGAGATGAGTTCCTGGTTGTCCATGACATCGACCGCGTCTGCTTCAATTCCCAGCTCCGCACCAGCTTTTTCACCAGAGACCAGGCGCGCCTGTGCTGAGCGTTTGTTGCGTATCGCCAGCAGCAAGGTGAAACCCTCTTGGGCGAGCCAGGCTTTGTCTTTCAAACAGGAGACAGGGCCCAAGTAGAGGAATGGCAGGATTGCTTGCGCCTGTCTCCGCATCATGTAGTCCCAGTCTGGCGCCACGACTCGATGCACAAAATTCTCCGGGTTGACCATCTGGAAGAATCCGGGGCAAACGAACTCCCCTTCCTGGAAATCATGTGAAGTAGGGCTGATGATTTCCTGAAGGGAGTTGTCATCATCGTAGAATGAAGGTGCAAACATTGGCAGACGAGTCTTTGCACTTCCCGAGGTGTATTCATGAGTCCGAACATAATGCGAACCCTCCTGCTCCGACATCGAAGCCTCATTGCAACGAGCCGGAGTCATTACTGCGGAACAGTCTTTTCGAGCTTGATTGAGAAATTGACGATGGGATTGCAGATAACAAGAATCTGACGCCAAAGGGAATATTGTGATAGCTTCCTCTCTTGTATGTTAATTAGGAAGCAATGAGAGATTTCATCAATGGGAGTAGATAATGTGAAAGTCATTCAGGGGCAGCGAACATTGATCAAACACTTAGTGAATGTGTGCAGATATTAGGAGCAAGCAGCGATGTCACTACTTGACTTGATCTTTCCCAACATTTTCCTCTTGCCATTACCTAGACTTGCCTCAAGTCATACCTGAGTTTCCAGGCACCACAGCACGGTCTCCCAGGGTTAGCATCAAAGGCACCCAAGAAGCAGTCGTTGCCTGGGCCGAGTGCCTGATGACTCATCAGTGGCTAGCGAGGACTGGTTAGTTAGCTGTTAACTAACTACTCAGAGTAGTTAACTAACTACGGATTAACTTAGTTAGTTAGTTAGTTAACGTAATCCACAACCGAGCGGCACACAGTTTCGGCCACCTCAGCTCCTTCGCCCCTGACTTGCTTCGCAGAGCCAGACAACTATTATCATGCCACAAAAGACTGCAGATCCAGTGATCAAATCAGAAGATCGAATACAGCTTGCACTAAAAGCATTTAAGAATGGCCAGTTCAAAAGTATTCGTGCCGCAGCAGCAGCATATGATGTTCCCTACCGCACACTTACATACCGAATCAACGGTCGAAAATCACGGACTGATGTACCAGTAAACTGCCAGAAGCTTAGCAATCTTGAGGAAGCTTCTTTGAAGAAATGGATCCTTGATATGGATGAGCGCGGCCTACCACCAACTCATGCTACTGTACGCAAGATGGCAGATTTATTACTTTCTCATCAGAAACCTGGCACATCAACTGGAAAGAACTGGGTCAGCAACTTCATCAAACGGCATGATGATCTTATATCAAAATACACCTGCAAATATGATTATCAGCGTGCAAAATGTGAGGATCCAGAGATCATCAAGCAGTGGTTCAACGTAGTCCAGAATACTATAGTAAAATATGGTATTCTTGAACAGGATATCTACAACTTTGACGAAACTGGCTTCCAAATGGGTGTGGCCTCTACAGCAAAGGTCATTACTGCATCACGTCATCGAAATAGCCGTGTACAAGCTATACAACCAGGAAATCGCGAATGGGTTACTGTCATTGAATCCATCAATGCTTCTGGATGGTCTCTTCCCCCCATGATCATCTTCTCTGGCAAGGTCCATCAATCTCAATGGTATGAAGATATTGACCCTGAATGGCTGATTGGTCTGAGCGATAATGGATGGACCAATAATGAGCTTGGATTATTATGGTTGGAAAAGGTCTTTGAAAAGCATACTGCGCAGCGTACGCTAGGGAGACATCGGCTTCTGATTCTAGATGGCCATGCTAGCCACGAATCTGCAGAGTTTGATCTTTTCTGCAAGAATCATCATATCATCCCTCTTTATATGCCTTCTCATTCATCTCATAAGCTACAACCGCTTGATGTTGGCTGTTTTGCACCTCTAAAGGAGGCATATGGCATGCAGGTGATGAGCAGCATTCGAAAGGGCATTAATCATATTGATAAGGAGAACTTTCTGACTCTTTATAGAGAAGCACGAAAGGCCTTATCGTCCAAAAATATCCGCAGTGGATTTGAAGCCTCTGGTCTTGTTCCATTGAATTGCCAACGGGTGTTGGATAAGCTTACTATCAAGCATATTACACCACCATCTACTGCCCATGGGCCTTCAGATCAGACATGGACTGCAAAGACTCCTTATACAACTGCTGAGGTACAAAAGCAGATGCACCTCATCAAACAACTGATTAATCACAACTCTGAAAGTCCTTCAAATGAAGCAATCCGTCAGCTAGCAAAATCAGCTGAATGTACCATGCATAAAGTCCTCCTACTAGATCAGGAGGTAAAGGAGCTTCGTGCAGCAAATGAGGTATAAAAGCGAAAGCGTACAGCCCCTAGATCTTTTATTGCTACTGGGGGCGTTCTGACAGGGTCTGAAGGTTAATAACTTGCTCAAGAAGCAATACAGAGAATGGGCTTAGAGGATCTGATTCCTAGAAAGCGTGCGCCACCACGATGCCTGCCATCAAATTGGTCATATTAGAACCAGCTGCCCTAGGAGATAATATAATTCTTTTATGTTTGAGAAAAGGCTTTCATTTTATTGCGTAGTTGTAAGATATTTCATGGTTCTCTAACCATGGTCAAGATCGTGTGCCGTTCGGTTGGGTGTGCCGCTCGGTTGTGGATTACGTCTGTATTTACATGATTAGTCATGTTTGCTCATAAGTGGACAACTCCTTCTGAAATGCACATGAAAGCCGAGCAAGGCAGTCGGACCTGAAGATGGTCTTGGATTGGTCTCCAGGAACTTTAGACCGTAAGATGGACCTTGATCGTCTGCTCCATCACCAAGCGCTTGTTTAGGCACCGCCTGCGAACCCTATCATGTCGTTTTCCATGGAACAACCACATGACCCTAACGTCCTTCGATTACATGCGATCAGAGCAAGCACAGTAATGACTGGGGAGGAGCTTTTTCCATGAGCCCCGGGATGTCAGGTCAACTAGACGCTTTCTTGCTTGCTCGATGTATGAAGCCACACGTGGAACTGGGCTAATAAGACCACCGGAAACTCAAAGATGCTCAGGGTATAGAATGCACCGTATGATCAGTATTCTCAGTATTCAAGGTTCACGACCTTCGTATAAAGGAACGCTCTGTGATCGATGCCAAGACCGAAGATGGTGAACTTACAAGATCCAGGAACCTCACTCGAACATGCGTAAATTCACAGCTAAGTAGACGGGAGCTTATGGTTCTCTCAGTTTATCACCGAATCCGAAAAGAGACATCTTGGCAGTCAATAAGGGATGGAAGCCTAAGGCGACCCCTGTCTCAAACTCACATGACATACCATACCATCAGCAGGATTGTACTAGATTGGGCAACGAGAACAAAGTCCTAGCGAGTCAAGTCGAGTCATACTCGAAATGGGGGGCCGGTATCCGAAAGATACCGGATTGAGTCAGACCATATACTACAAGAGTCATACTTCGTACAGCACGTGTGTCTCCTACCCTGTTACACGGCCCTAAGGATGAGCTAGGAAAGTTAGGAATAAGCTGACAAATCGGTACTACAATCTTATTTGACTTATGACTAGGACGGGAGATAGTCTAGGCTTCCATATGCTGAGGTGGCATGGCAGTTGATAGTTCTAGGGCCGAGAGGATGGGATGGCGAAGTGAAATCAGGCTAACAAGTCGGACAAAAATACACATCGTAGCAGCATTTTTCCTTCCATTAGATCCCGGAGCTATGAAACGAGGATAGGCGATGGCACTCAGATGGATAGTACATAGTCATAGAAGTAAGGTGGTGAGAGAGCTCAGAATTGTGAACGAAAGTGGCAAAAGAGAGGGAGATTTAAGATAACACCTGGGTATAATTCAGGAATTCAACAAACAAAAGTTAACAGTCATTAAAACACCGCTTTAGTTGAATGATCGACCTCGAGCAAAACGCCAGATGTGTGTTGTGATGATGCGTTCTGAGATGGACTGACCGACATTAACCTCCCATTGATTTCGAGTAAGCGCAGACCAGAGACCCCGTACATGAAAACGAAAACGCCCGCAAAATGCAACAACTGAAACAAATGTAGAAAGTCATGAAAGCGAAGGCGGATGTCGCAAAGCTGAGTCTACTACCAAGACCTGCGCATCACCCCTGCGCCACGCCAGTTTGCGGGATGGTTGGCTGGGGAATGGCCTGCTGCAATCCAGCGACAATTCTCTCTAGTTCTTCGAGTCGGCGATCCTTTTCTTGAACCTCGCGACGAAGTCTCTTCAGTTCATTGCGCAAATCGACCTCGTTTTCTTCATCGCCTGGGAGAGCGACCGAGATGTCATCATCAAGGGAGTCGCGCTTCCGCTTAACGGATGGAGGAACTGAAAGAGCATGGTTGCCATCCAGGTCGGGTGTTGAAACCATGGGCAGTTCTGTAGAAGGGCCATTTTCGGTGTGCATGTGTCGGCGGCGAAGATGTTCCTTCAAGTTCTCTTGGCGCGTGAAACCATTCCCTGTACTGCGGTTGCAGTCGGTGTATGGACACATCAGTGGCTTTTTGGCATTGATGTTCTTTTTGTGAACCTCGCGTTGGTGTCTCAGAAGCCCACCAGAGTATGTGAACCCTTGAATCTTGTCACACCCTGGTTCCAGACACTTGTAGGGACGGTCATGTTTATCCATGTGTTTGCTACAGGTGAAGACGCGTTAGCTCCTATCAGACGCGTGAGGATTTGATCTTAACATGAACTTACTTCCATTCACAAGGGCGCCGAAATGTCGGAGGCGACTGCTGGCATTCGGGATGATCACAATAGATTTGACCGGCTGCGTTCTTGGGTGGATCCCGCGCTCTTCTGACAGACAGTCGAGGACGAGCGCCTTCCATGAATCCAGGGGGCATTTGCTCATTCATCTTTGGAACAGGCGACAAAGAGTCCGGAGCAGGGACAAGGACAGCTGTAGGTACTCCGGGACCTTCACTTCGTGGGCTTGGATAGTCAGAGCCGTCACCCATATCGCAAGTACAGCCCCGCCGCTCAGTCGAGATTGGGGGCCTAGTTTGGAGGAAATCCGAGTATGTAGCGACACAAGACTCGAGAGCCAGACAATAATAAGATCTAAGGATAATATGAAAGGTTCTAAATCAATCTGAGGGGCAGTAATGCTGATATAAATCCGTCAGTGACTTGATCTCGTGGGTGGCGCTCAGTAGATGTTGGTTCCTTACGAGGAAGACGGGGGTGCCGATTTTTTCAGGCGTTCAGGTAGCAAGGCATCCACTAGCGAATGACTAATCGAATTTGGCGAGCCGCCACATCAAAATCATGTGACTGGGTGGTACAGACTTGTTGAGAAACAAAAGAATGCAAGGATACCTCAAGACTTGATGAAGCAGATGCAATGATATACTCCAGAGTACTGTGATTCACACCCAGAGGATTCGAATACTGTGCGGACACTGCTGCACACGTGGTGTGATGTCTGTCGCGTTGTGATCGTTATAGCCCGAAGCGGAAAGTCGAGATCTAGTGGCACCGAGGATGAGATCTTGGGTCGTAATTATATTCAGTGAGTCATCCCCATAGATTCAGGCAGCCGGATAAGTCACAATCTGATAGATTAGGTTATTATTGGTAAGTATGGAGTTACAGACAGAGTATCCGCATGAATCCTACCTAGTTCAACATAGAGGAACTCCAAAGTGATGCTTGTGCTGCCAGGTCGAGGGTAGCCGCCACAGACTGCCAGCCAATCATAGTGGCGCAGCAGGCCTGAGGATCCATACCCTCAGCCACCGTCGATCGCTCTTCACCGCCCTGGGCCTCTTTCTCACCAGCTCAAGGGTCTCTCCTTGGCAGTCTACGAATCCATCAGATTCAAGATCATTTTCAGCTCATCATTATACTAGTCCAGTTGATCTTCATCCGTGTTTCTGCAGCCTTACTGGTGGCCCGACTCAGATCCATCTCTGCCAGACCACGTCAAAGTCGGCGTGTACCTGAGGTACCCAATCCTCTGACCGCCAGGGCACAAGTATGAAACCGGCGGCTGTAGCCCAATGCGGACTGTGACCTGACTGGTCCAAGAAAGTCGGCAGCCTAGGAATCCAGGCATTCGCGACAGTAGTTGTCGCAGTTGCCCTGCCGATATGCAGAGCTTTCTCATTCGCTAGAGGAATTCTCGCCTTCATCCCATTGTCACTTTGCTAGCAGTATATTTATACTACCTTACTAATGAGCATCACCTTCATTCTCGGGATTGATTCGCGTCGAATGACGTCGAGTCAAGCACAGCTATACACCACAAGAGGCATACGAAACTCAGTTTACATCCAGTAAGGTTGATACTTGCGCCAAGGACAGGTTGCACTATACGTAGCAAAGCAGCCCTATTTTCGGACAGTATACAGACAGTACAAGATCACGGTTGACATAGCCATCAAATTAGGCACCTCAGTTCTTCCTTCTAGAAGTTGAAGATCATGTTTATCCAGCAAGCCGACATGTAGGATGGTAGTTCGTTTAGCTGAGCGAAAATAGCAGACTGTTCTTCTTGCAGTGGCGCAGCACAACGGTCCAGCATTTCGGCTGGCAACCCCGGGAGTTCAGAATTCTACACAAATTTTTTTTATCCAGATCACAAGGGTATGATTGATTCACGGAGATCGGAGCGGGTTTCTGGAATCGACCAGAGAGGCCCTACTACTGTTGTGGTCTGGTCCAGTAGACTACATTATGGTTGTGGCTGAGTCTGCAGAGTGATGTATACAGAGAGATCACTAAACCCGAGTTAAGACATCCTGCTAAATCCTGTGATGCGTGATCGACAAACCAAATTGTCAGATTTTGCAGAATGCCAAGCATGCATGATTTGTAGCTGCCTGTCTTGAGAAGGAGTGATTATCTACAGGGATGTTGAATCTATTTATATTTTATATCAAGCGCTGGGCGACCGGGCGTCCCAGACTGACAGTTGCAGGCACTTCTATATTTGCCAAGGCCAAGCTACTCGTTTCTACGTTCAGCATATCAATTAGAAAGGTAGTGCTTTAACGAAAGACAATAGTTAGATTTTATTGCAGAGGTCGTAGCTCGGCGCTGCGCACATCGCTAGAGAGTTCCATGCAGTGGACCAGCGAGCCAGAGGAAGGCAATTCTGACCGCGATCAAGGCGACCTTGCCCAGCTGGCGCCACGAAGGACGCCGCCAAATCCCTGCATGGCCCTAGCAATGCTACGAAGCCGAGCCAACGAGGAGGAAACGTAAATATTGGCAAGCGGGAATAATCAGAAATGGCAGAATGTCACTGATAACATCTTGTCATAGGCGCAATCATGTTCAATAACCCTTTAGGGATATTGAACTGGTCAGTAGCCTCGAAATCGCCGAGTGTTGAGGGCATGTGTAAGCCGGAATAGGACAAGAAAGATTTCATACATTGATGATCCAAAGTCATCCAGCTCAGCCATGATGCGCGTGGACAGACGAACGCTGCCAGTCAAGACGCTTCTTTCACGGATCATCAAGCGCCTCTTAATGATACTAAGAATGGCAACTAATCGCAGACATCTTTGACCCATGTGGGCTGGTAGAAAAATGACTGGGAGATCATTGAAAGGAGAGACCTCGCCATTGCCGCAACGTTCTTTCCACCAATGCAGCCCGATCGAGGCTTATGAGGGAGATCTGTCAAGTCCAAGCAAACATTTGACAACCCTCGCAGGCCATCGAGTCATATTTGGAGGATCTGGAAATAGACGGTCGTCCACGTCATGGAGGTACTGCATGCTTCTGAAGCCACCCTAAATGGCGTTGTATACAGTATCACCGAAATCAATCGTAGTTACCTCCGACTTGGCTCGCAAAAGCGGTGGAGACGCTGCGAGTGTCATCATCATCGTGAACATGTCCGGGAACACCGCGAGTCACACGGATGCTGGCAGAGCTTCCTCCAAAGATGCTACCGTTGTCGGGAACGCCAGCCCTGTACGGCTCCCGTCCGCCCGATTCCACGTAACGTTTCAACCTGTCAGACTGACTGAGACTAGGCTGCTTGCTCATGTCGTTGATGCTCAACCCAGCAAGGCTAACACCGCCCTGATCAACGCTCCTTCCATCGATGATACTTCCCGTAATGTCGGACTCAGTAGCTGCCACGGATTCCCCAGCAACGCTAGGTGCTCCTTTTCCTCTGGCCCCATTAGCTCGTCTGGCACCAGGAAGAGCAGGCCAGGCGTCTGCGAAGTTCTGGAACATCGGTGGATATCCTGAGGGGATACTGACGCCTCCAAGGGCAGAGGAGTGTACGGAGGAGACATCATCGGGAATATAGCCAATCACCGAGCCGGTTTCATGGAACTCATTTCGGTGACCGTTCCGACCGTTCATCATTCCACTGGTGACGTTGGATGCATGATTGTAAGCCATCTGGAACCGTTGTGGACCTCTATATGACTGCTTTGGACGACTGAATTGAATAAGAGATTCCTGAAGGTTGGACAGAGGCCCCTCCACAAGACAGTGTCTTTCCTTGAAATGTTGCAGTAGACAGTTCCACAGTGGATGCTTGGACAGAACCTTTGGATTTCCAAGAATGACCAGACCATACTTCGCTCGAGTAAGCGCAACGTTCAGGCGACGCGGATCACTCAAGAAACCGATGCCTTGGTGGTCGTTGGAACGCACACAGGAAAGGATAATGAAGTCTTTCTCTCGGCCTTGGAAAGCATCAACCGATGCGACTTCGATTTCTTTGTAGTGCTCCTTCTTGAATGTGCCATTAGCCTGCATAGAGCTGACGATGTAACTACGTTGACCCTCGTAAGGCGTGATGATGCCAATGTCGGCTGGTTGCACACCGGCCTTGAAGAAGCGGGTCACGATTTTCTCCACGTTTGTAGCTTCGGTTCGGTTGAGATACGAAGTTCCTGACGCCGAAATCTCTTCGTTGCCAAGGTTCGACCAGAACATCATGGGACTGTCAACGACAGGCCAAGGGAAATCCACGTCACGGCGAAGTCGGTCAAAAGCAGAGACGCCATTTTGCAGAGATCCTTCATAGAACATATTCGATGGGAACTCTGACAAGCACGGGTGCATACGGTACTGCACATTCAGTCGAATAGGGGAGCAGCCGAGGATAACGAGCCGCTCAAAGAGGGATTGGTTCAAGCCCGCTTTAGCCGCTTTCTTGTTCATAATAACAGGTCCAAGCTGCTGGTGGTCACCCACCAGAACGACCTGCTTGCAACCAAGGACCAGTGGAATCATACACTCAGGCTCAGCCGACTGCGTCGATTCATCAATCAAGACGGTGCGGAATTTGAGCTTCGCAAGCCGCGGGTCGCCAGCGCCGACGCAAGTACAGCAAATGACGTCGGCATTGTTCAGAATCTCACGCTCTGCAGAACGAGTGAGTTGCTTCAAACGCTTCTCGTCTTGACTCGACAATTCGCCCAGCTCGGCCTTGAGCTGGTTGAGCTTGATGAGTTCAATGTTGCTGTCGTTCAGGCGAACTTGCTCGTGCAGGGAAAGGAAGCCCACGGGTGACTCAACGTCCTCACGCGACTTGGCAGTCACACGTACTGTCTTGAGACCGGTCCTGTGAATACGCTCGCACAGCTGATCGACCGCAACGTTGGATGGTGCGCAGACCAAGACTTGACCTCCGTTGATCTTTGCGAGATGGTAAATAATCGTGGCAGACGTAACAGTCTTTCCGGTTCCTGGGGGACCCTGAATCAAGCTCATGGGCCGCTGTAGCACACTCTTGACTGCATTGATCTGGCTTCCGTTGAGCTCGGGCAGGCCAGGTACACTAAATTTCTTCGGTAGCTGAGTCTTCATCGGTGCAGCGGCAACTTCATGTCCAAGGAGGCGATGGAAGATATAACCGGACACGCTCATTTCGTCAACAGCGAAAGTCTTCATGGCGAGCTGCATACGATCGAATGAGGTTGATTTCCAGACATAGTCCGCAGTGAAGTTGTGGGTGCATTCGGTGGGTACAGACTTGTGATCGCCCTTAGCGCGCAACTCGATTGTCACTTCATCAGACTGATTGTTGGGAATCTTTATGACGTATCCCACACCCTCCCACTTGGGCCGTAGCTCACCCGTGTACTTGAGGCGCATCTCATCTCCCACGGCCAATTTCACGTCTCCAAGCTCGAGCTTGGGCAGAATGAAGCTGGCAAGATGTTTGTTGTTCAAGCCAAGGTCCCAACGGACGATGAGACCATCCTGTGACTGAGATTCCTTCAGCTTACGATCGTAGTCTGCTTCAATCTTGACCAGGGGACCGAAGATGTTTTGGTACTGAAAAGCATCGTCATAACGTAAGAGAACAGGCGCAGGCTCATCATCTACCGCCGTGGCTTTCTCCAGGTCCGCAAAAGTCGCCTGGGAATTCTCCTTCCACATTTCCTCCAGTTTTGCGATTAACTGCGGGCTAAGATGCCGGGCTCGGAGCTGCTCTTGATCTGATGGAGCGGCAACAAGCCATGGCAGGAATGAGCGATCCTCAATCAGTGGCTGCCAGCGCGAAGTGTCCCAGTTCATATCCTTCGAAGACGGCATGGCAGCACAGGGTTGACGACAAAGCAAAACCACAACTGTGTCGGATTTGGCTGGAATAAAACCCAGTAGAAAAACGTTCTTAGTTCCGCAGTTGTAACACTCCAGGATAGTGTCGCCCAGGGACGAGGCGGGGTGAAGCTGAACCTCCTTGTGGCGAGCTCGGACAAGATGGTTGACGATATGCGAAGATGATGTGTTCCCACGAGCACTGCAAAACCACTTGCTGCAAGCCAGACATTTTACCACACTGCTCGGATTATGAATACCGCAATAACTATAAAAAGGGAGGTAAACGTTAGAAAAATTCGGACCAGAGAGACACATGGTTTTGTAGTTACTCACGCGCATGCATGCGGAGGAAGCTCCTTCTCCTCCTCAAGGTTGCCCTCATTTTGCCTGCGGCCAGTCACAGCGGCGCTGGTAACACTGTCGACGTCGTCGTCACCAAAATTATCTGATCCATCATCTTCATCGTCGTGTCTCCTTGGGCGCGGACCGCCGGTCATGTTCAGAGTAGTCTCATCGAGATCCGCTGGAGCCCTACCATCGCCAATAGCAGCCATAGTCGGCCTGAGGTCGAAATTAATGGGATCAAATAGCAGAAAAATCTAGCTCGTGTTGCTGACTCTAGGCAAGGAGAGCAGTACCACTCAGAGCGGAACGGTTCGAGGGGAGATACGGTAGCGTGGCAACCACGACGCAAATCGAAGATGCCGGAAATACGGGAACCAAAGGAGCGTCAGGACAAGCCAGTCGTCCTAAATGAACGAGCAAAGGGACAATTCTCAGTCCTTCTTGTTGAAAAGATCCAGTGTACCACAGTAGAGGGGCACAGGAATAAGAGAAACTAAGGTTCGGTCTTAGTAAGTCAACCTATATCAGCATACTAAATAGACAAAACATACCGGTTGATCTCCAATATCCTAGCCCACTTGACTTAGCCTTCCGTCACTATGAAACCGGCGAACGAAAGTCGCTAATCCTGAAAATCAGGACGGTGTAGTTGGCAGGGACTTTGTGAGAGCGAGTCAGTGGACTGCGATCGGCTTTTGGATGTTTTAAGTTATCGGACCTTTTGCCGCCAGAAGCCCACAGTCCGGTGGCCGGTTCAGGCCAGTGGCGCAGCTCTTTTGGAGAAAAAAAAGTTGTTCGGCGGACCAGATCTCGACAAGCAATCATACAGACTACTCCAGAATTCGCTGAAAAAGATGCTGGTAAGTATATGTCGCTCGCATATATATTGGCGGGATTTTTCTACTTTTTGTAAAATCACAGAAAGATTCTGACAGACACCTAGCGCCGTCAAGCCCGTGAGCGTCGAGACTATCTCTATCGGAGAGCTCTGCTTCTCCGCGATGCCTCTATCGCCGAAAAGAGAGCTCAACTCAAGGCTTCTTTGGCCACCGGAAAGACTCTTGACCCCTCAATAGCGAATGACAAGAAGCTCCGTGAAGACTTCAAATACGATGAATCATTAGAGACGCCCAACAAGGAGAACAAAGATACCGACTATGCTGACCTCGACGATGAATACGCTCTCACGTCTGGTATCATTGACCCTCGTCCGATTGTCACCACCTCCCGGTCACCCTCCGTTCGTCTAGGAACATTTGCGAAAGAAATCCGGTTGCTTCTACCCACATCAATTCGCCTTAATCGTGGTAACCTTGTCCTTCCCGATCTCGTGTCGAGCGCAAATGCAGCCGCGCTGACAGACATGGTTCTCTTACACGAACACCGTGGAACACCCACCGCGATGACCATCTCTCATCTTCCTCATGGCCCGACAGCCAGTTTCTCGTTGCACAACGTCGTTCTCCGTGCAGATATTCCCAATGCGGCCCGTGGGACTGTTTCGGAGAGCTACCCTCACCTAATCTTTGAGGGTTTTAAAACGAAGCTTGGTCTTCGTGTGGTTCAGATTCTGAAGCACCTGTTCCCACCTCGTGAGGCCGGTAAGGTCGGCAATCGTGTTGTCACCTTCGTGAACAAGGAGGATAATATCGAGGTTCGACACCATGTCTTCGTTAAGACTGGGTACCGGGATGTTGAGTTGGCTGAGGTTGGCCCGCGGATGACAATGAGACTTTTCGAAATCCGTGGCGGCTCGCTGGAGAAGGGCTCGAGTGGTGATGTTGAATGGGCTCTCACGCAGTACACAAGAACGAGCAAGAAGAAGGACTATCTGTGAGCATTTGGGAAATCGACCGAAGGCAGTGACTCTATGTATAATTCTTACGGATGCAAAAAGTTTACTTGGCGCACAAGGTGTTTAGGAGGGATCAAAGTGCTTGATGTTTGGTAGCACTGCATCATTATTCATTAGATTGGTTATACCCATGAGAAGAAACTCAAATTCGCTTCAACTCCTTCTGCAAAAACCTAAGAAATGACGAATCCTCGACTGTGAAGCTGTTCGTTAGGAGATAGCAAGGCTAGCTGGACCGATCAACAGGACTGCCCCATAGCTCGATAGAAAGAGAACGAGAATATCATCGCCTAGGTGAGACCAGTAGCGCAACCCTAAGGAGGCCGAGTTCCCAACAGTGGCAACGATTTTCCAGGTAGATGAAGAATATTCGCCCCGATGAATGCGGCAATCGTATGGCCTCGAAAGAAGTGACTGTTGTCTTTCAGAACACCCTGGGCGCAGATTAGGCTTGATCTTCCACAGATCCGTCTTTATTATCCGACGGCGTCAAAGGACTATGGTCATCGCTGTTCGAGCCGACAGCAATCTGCTTAGCACCCTAGCACGTTGCAGAACTTTGAGCCTCCCCCTGGCGAAGAAAGTTCGAAAGAAGAGATCTGCCGGTTTCATAGTAGAACCAGCCATCATGGGCCGGAAGTTCCTTTCCATCGATGTCCTGCTTCGGAGGCATAGGGATCCCATCCAGTCGATTCTCCCAGTTCTTTCCCGTCTTGGCCGCGAAGAAGTCTGTGAATGCTGCTATGGCAGTGTCCTGGTCACTGCCGGGAAGCGCGAGAATCTCGTCAGTGGACTTTCCGGTACGACTGTACTTGGCTTGCGTCGCGTAAGTGTGAGGAACGCCGTTTGACTCGTGAACCTACAATGTATCAGCTTATGTTGCGATCATGATGAGGCAGGGACCGACCTTGATCTGGAATTTCTCGCGTGTATTATTCCGAGACAATTGGCGGTAAATAGTAGCACTGTATGTCTCCCCAGTGGCCTGGTCAACATAGACGTGATAGTTCGCTTGATATTTGGAGTCTGTCAGAACGCATAACCACACCCTTTAAGGAGACATACCTGCAGTTAACGCTTTCCCCTTGCGGGTTCGAGGCTTTGGGGTGGACGAATCGTTTCCAGATGCTTGACTACAGTCACTATCTTGAAGCATCAGCGCTATTATGACCATACGTACCCGATGACTTGTCCTTGGCCTTCAACTGCCTCCTTTGGACCTTTACGGCTCGTCTCTGCTTCTTTTTCTCTTTGTTCGGGACATTCGCCAAAAGATAGGCTCCCTCGGGCTTCGGCTTACGGGTTTTGGACTGCAAAGAGTCCTCGAGCCAGTCATAGGTTACAATCTTGACTGTTTCCAGAAGCTTGGCTTTCTGAACTGCTCCATCGGCAACCTTAGTAATTGCGTAGTCTCGGCTGCAAAACGGAATAGTGGGTGCCATACCTGCTTCGACATTCTTTTCGAAGGTCTCCCTCGTGGTAATCAAGTGCGTAATATCCTCGGTGACGTCCTTCGAAAAGGTCCCTCCATGGGCCAGTATCCACTGTGGGACCTTATCTCCGTTGACAGGGAACCTGCCAATGGCACAAGCGTGGATATTTTTGAATGTCTTTCCCATGGTTTCTAGAGGCGAGGTGATAACTTGGATTTGGTGACGTCGACAATAAAATCAGGGGCCAAGATCAAGAGCAGAGAGCACAGCGGATGTGTTAGTGATGAGAAGGAGGAAGCATGAAGTAATGTAGTTTTGTAACACTATCACGGCTGACGAAATGTATGCGATGTGTTACTACCCCTCAGGAAGATATGAATTGGCAATGAGGTTACCCAAATGTATTCATTTCAGTGAAACTGCTAGGAGTATGTAGAGGAGCTTCAGAAAAGACAGATATGTTTCTGAACCCAGAAATAATGAGATATATGTAACCCGAAAGTGAACCCGAGATAAGGTATGAGTGAGACATGATCTTGGAGAATGTAAGCCTTGTACTCCGTAGTCATGAAAGAGTCATGAAAGAGTCATCAACTCATCATAGAAGAGTGGCACTAGACTTATGCCACAGAGCAAGGCAAAGAGCTTTCTGCATTAAGCCTCAAAAGGTTTTCACAGCTTGCACAAAAGCGCGAATCTTGGCAGGATCTTGTGAACCATCAGATTCCACACCAGAACTCACATCGACCCCAACCACTTTGTGTCCAGAGTCTCCCAGCTTCTTGATGGTATCAACAACGTTGGAAGGGTCCAAGCCACCCGCCAGAATCACTCGTAGCCCATCATCGCCACCAAGGACTTTCTGAACATGCGACTGATCGAGAAGCTCACCAGAGCCACCTGCACCAGAATCGAGCAAAGGCAAGCTGTGGTAAGCTCTGCGTGCGATACCAGACTCATCCAATGCAAATTTACGAATGACGGGCACAGGGATTAGGCTGGCCCATTCGAGGGGTTCTGACCCATGCAGCTGCACGACGTCCAAACCTAGTTTTTGCTGCTTGTCCAGGATGTAAGCCAATGGCTGATTTTGGAACACTCCCACAAGCAGAGCCCGCGTTGGATGACGCAGGACGCGGGTAGAATGATCAAAGAAGTCGGAGGAAAAAGTATTGGCGGGTGATGTGGAGTCAGGCTGGACAGTAGGGCGCTGGGTCGACTTCACTACCCGAGCGATGCGCAGAGCGACATCGTCGGGTACACATCGTTTACGACCTTCCACGAGGATAATGCCAACCAGATCTGCCCCAGCCTCGACAGCAGCACGTGCACCCTCTTCCGACCGAGTTCCACAGATCTTCACCAACCGTGAGCCCGGCGCCGACTTAGAGTTATTTTCGGAGTTTCCCCCTAAAAGTTCTGCAACGAAGGCAGATGTGTTCGGGGCCCGCATCAGCGCCTCGCCGACAAGGATAGCTTTGACACCATCCTTTTTGTAAGCCTCCACATCCTTCGGTCCAGAGATACCACTGAGAGCACAGACGATGGTGCTTCCAGGCACCAGGTCCATCAACCGACTCGTAGTGCCCAGATCAACTTCAAAGCTTGTCAAATCTCTGTTGTTGACGCCCACCACCTCGGCGCCCAGTTCAACAGCAATTTTCATCTCTTCTGGAGTGTTGACCTCGACGAGAGGCTCCATTCCAAGACTGCGGGAGTAATTGTAAAGCCTCGTAAGAAGCTCAACACTCAGCATCTTCACGATGAGCAGGACGGTATCAGCACCAGCTAGACGTGCCTCCAAGATCTGGTATTCGTCAAAAATGAACTCTTTCCGAAGGACAGCGGGCCGGTTGGGCAAGCCTTCCAGGCTCTGACGGACGGCTCGCAGATCGTCGATGCTGCCTTTGAACCACTCTGGCTCAGTGAGAACCGAGATGACACTAGCTCCAGCCTTGGCGTATTGTCGGGCCTGAGCCGGAGCACATGCCGTCTCCGCAATCATACCCTTGGATGGAGAAGCCCGCTTGATCTCTGCCATCAACGATAGTGGATAGGGTGATTGTCTGAGGCGAGAAGGAAATGAAATCTGAGGTGGCGCGAGGCTGAGGTCGTAGGCAGCCTGAAGATCTTCGGGACGTTGTGATGGAATCAGTTTCTGAACAGCAACGGCTGCTCTTCGATGATCATAGATCTTATTCAAAACGGAAGACTTCTTGTCTACCTTTGGTGCGCTGCCGTTCACCGTGGCCGAGCCGGATGAGGATTTGCCGTTGGCCTCCCAGGTCCCTGCTGTAAGCTTCAAGAAGTTCCTGAACATGGTGCGGCCATGCTCCGTAAGAATACTTTCCGGGTGGAACTGGACACCTTCCACTGCGTATTGCTTGTGTCTGATTCCCATTATCACGTCCTTGCCGCTGCCATCGTTCAATGGGACGGTTGATGTAACTTGCAGACAGTCTGGGACAGTCGCGTGCGTTCCAGCCAACGAGTGATATCGAGTCACTTCAACCGCAGGAGGCAGGCCTTCATAGACACCTCTACCGTCATGCTTCAGTATCGATGTCTTGCCATGCAGGATTTCACCGAAAACGTCGACCTTTCCACCAAAAGACGTGATCATACATTGCTGTCCCATACAAACACCGAATACAGGTATTTTCCCACCGAAGTACTTAATGGCCGCATTACTGATACCGGCATCTGTTTCTGGATGGCCTGGGCCGGGACTAATGACCAGCTGAGTCGGCTTCTTGGCAATCAGCTCTTCCAAGGTGATCTCGTCATTGCGAAAAACCGTGACTGTGGCTCCCTCTAAAACAAGATACTGGTATACGTTCCAGGTGAAAGAATCGTAATTGTCAATGAGAATGACATTCGAGGCACTGGCCAGCTGTGCGGCTTTGGTGGGATGGCGGGGAGAATGGTCAACGAGATCGGAGTTCGCCATGATTGAGACTTGGAGCAGGAACGATTCAAGGTCGCTTTCACTATGAGGAAGATGAACAAAGTCTGCGTCAGATTTGCGCTTGAACTACCAGAGATGGAAGGGAAATCTCACCTGCTTCAGATCAATCAAGGGGTGCCTGTGTCACTAAGAGTAATACGGAGAATAATCACGCTGTTTGACTCACCAAAGTCCTCCGATGCAGGGGGGTCAAAATTTCCTAATCGGGCTTGTTTGTCAAACTGCGCAAATAGTCTGCCTCACCGCCTGGCGCTAATCCCGAACAGGTATACATTGTTGACCTCCAGCCAAAAGGCTCCTTCAATAATATTCTTGAGCGCCCGCCTGGAGCTAAAGCTCTGAGCTGCATTGATTTGACCTTCAGTTGGCTCGATTTCTCATTCGAATTCTATCTTTATCCGTCACGCGACTCCTTCCTATATCCTATTGGTACCTATAATGTTATAAATTGTCTTGCCAAATGGCTCCCATCCCGGAGGCCTATTTCCCGTCCCTGGACAAGTGCTTCTCCGGGGACGTCCAGCTTCTGTATGCGCGTTTTGTCCGTACAATTGAAAAGTGATCGGTGTTAATATACTTTCTCTTAGATCTTGGAGAAGAGCGTTCATCTATACCTGCGACCCTGACAATGATGTCGACGATACAGGCAGCTTCCATGCGTTCCTTTCGCATCCAGAGAGCACTCGCCTGCTTTCAAATAGCTTGAATCCGTTCTCGTCGCCTTCGGCAAAGACAAAGGCCGATTTCGAGTCCAAGACAGCGGCAATCCATGCAGAGACAACTGCCCAAGTTTCTTACGATCTGAAAGAAATCAAAGCGGATACCCTGTGGTTGAGTCAAAAGGCTGGGATCGACGAGATAACCGCTCTTCGGATCACGGTTCTGGAATGGCAGGATCGTCCTGCTGCGCGCTTGCTAGCTAGATTTACTGAGGAGGAATCAACTAGCCTACAGAGTGCCGCTGGGATCGACAATTTACGTGCGTCGCTTGCAGGGCCTGCGTTGAGTGAAGTTCTGCGACAGAAGGCTGGTGACGACTCCGATTTCTTGTCCGAGGAAAATAGACGACTTAGATTGCGCAACCTTTATCTATCTGAGAGAAGCCATCTGTTGAAGACAGCACGCAAACTGCTCGCATTGTCCCTCCACAACAGCTCTCAGAATGATACTGCTCCTCCCGCTTCTCATGTCAGTGATCGCACCGAATCCTTGCGCAAGCTAAGTGCAGCCGTCTTTCAAGAGAAATCTGCAGGCAGCGAATGGCGGTCCTTTGTGGAAGCCTGCATCAAGGCCATCAAAGATCGACTTTCCGCATTAGAAGGAGATGGGGGCTGGTTGGGTGTCGCTGAGAGCAACGAAGCAGTAGAGAACATGTGGAGGACGGTCCTTATTGAAGAGGTCCTGCACGTCACACAAATGCTCTTCCTCCAACTTCAGGCATCGGCCGAGATTCCCACTGCTGAACTATTGGTATCTTGGCTCCGTGTCATGGGTGATTACAGTTTCCTGGAATCAGTCCAAGTAGTAAGTCATGTTTTGAACTTCCACGATTATCGTGACTCCATGACTGACCGTTAAAGCCTTGCCAAAACCCCTTGGAGATACTCTTACCGCTACAGGCTTTCGTCGCTCTGACAACCCTTGCGTTCATGAAGCTACCACTGGCCATGCCCTCGATCATCAACAAATCAACACCACCTTCCCAGTCGCCATATTTTCTTTCCAAGGGCGAAATCGGCCAGTTGAACGAAATATTTGTAACCGTCGGGCTTGAATCTAAAACTGCAAATCCCGCAGCATTCTCGTGGGGTCTACTTCTACATACATTGAGAGAGCTGGCACTTAGCGACAAAGAGACTCGGGAGCTGGAACAGTTCCACAGCGCGGTGGATTCCTTTCAATCAAATACCCCCCACTCAAATTCAGGCCGAGCTTCAGAGCTCTCCTTGTACGAGGAGTTGCTTGAATGCGCACGGTCTCCCACTTGCACAGCTGAGGACTCGATCGCCCTTTTGACTTCGGATGCTATGAAGGACATGATGTTCGAAGTGATAGTCGCTTTGGCCACCAACGTTGGTTCAACATCAGCCGTCGACGACATCCTTACAGAACGGTGGACACGAGTGGTACTTCTGGATCTCATTCGCGTCGTGAGGATTTACGTGGAGTATACCCCCGAGATCGTTGGCTCTGTCTTGGCGATTCTCAATGGGCCTCCCACAAAATCACTTTGTTCTTCACAGTCTCTCTCTGCCGCTACCGACCCGCGATGGATTTTCATGAACGATGATTTCCTAATGGACAAATTTTTCCGTCTCGCACGCTCACGGTTTCCATACGAAACGGTGCCATTCTTGAAGCTCTGCCGAGCGCTCATTAGCAAAGACATGGTGAACGAGGAGGGCATTCCACAAATCCTCAGCGAGATGGAGAATATGGACACCTTCACACAGATAGTGCCATTCGAATTTCAGGGATATGAAACAATCCGTGAAGATGAAAATGCCAATCTTGTCACCCTCACACAGCCCCTGGCGATCTTCGAGTCGTCGACGGCGAGGCAAATTATGGACCACGAATCAAGCAATGCTCTGGTTGTCACAAGCTCATCACATGTACCTTCATCAACTTTAGGACAAGTGATATCCGAAGCGAAGCCAGCAGTGATTATGTGGTATCATGAATATTCCTGCCTGAGTTATCTCGGGAGTTACTTAGAAGAATGGAATGAAAACGGTGGGTACTCATCCGGCGTGGAAGAAGACAACGTTGCGGAGATTATAGGTCTTGTGGCGGACCTACTTGTTGCCGCATGGGTTCAGCCAACGCCAAATGAGGCAGGCTCTGGCGCCAAACGTATTTTGGAGGTTGCAAGCGATGGATTGGCTCGCGAAAGCGATATTATATCGTTGATCTTCGATATATTCGAGCGCAGTCTGCACAATATCGGTCCGAGGGCTGGATTTGACAGCAAAGTAGAGTCGGTCATCGCCTGCTTACGCTTCATTCGTGCACTTACACTGGTTTTACCTGGAAGGGTATGGCCTCTGCTTGCTCGGAGCAGTCTACTCGGGTCAGACGGCAAGGGCGGCGTCATGACCGCAATCGTTTCCGCGACTGAAGTGACATCGGGAGATTATCCATTCCTGCTTGAGTGTGTCAAATTATTCCAGGCTGTCGTGGACGACGCAGCATCGCGCGCGATGGTGAGGAAATGCCCGAACAACTTGTCTGGAAAAATGACGGCTGCCTCTGAATGGACCTCTGGCGTACCAACTCATATCATGAGAGGTATCTTATTGAATTTTGTGCGGACAATGGTAGAGGTGTTCAACAGCAACATCGACTGGCGTTTCAACGCCCCGGAACAAAGGCTCGAGATCAATGCCACTCTTGCTAAGACCTTCGAAAGGATCATCTATTATACCTATGGGACGAACGATTCTACCAAACTGGATTCGAAGGTTACTGGCGTTTTCTCCTCATCCGCAACATATCTTCTGGATGTGCTACGACCACAGTCCAAGGCAGACCTGCCTTTCAGTCCAATCCTTCGGTTGATCGTTGACGGCCTTCAGACGCCGGCTACTTTACATCTTCGCTACCTCGTGTTGATGGAGAAGCAGGTGAGATCGACATTGGAGTTAACAACCAGACTATTGGAGGCCGCCCGGTATCTGGAGCAACCAACCTCGCTACTAGAGGACCAACTATTCAAGGCCACTCCCGTTCTCGTCAAACTATATTCGTTGCTCGATGCCTACCGCTTACCCGTCATCTTACTTCTTGAGATCCTAATCTCCGGTGCAGCTCTCGACTCCGCGAATGAACCCCCGTCCTTGGTCGGACACCTTGGAGCGGAGTCCTCCTGCCTCTTCCTCGACGTTCTGTCACAGTTCGACAAACCGTTGAGTGATCAGAAATTACACTTAGCGGTATGGCACTTCCTATCCACAATCGTCAGTAAGCGTCAGCAGTGGCTCGCGGTGTATATCCTCACTGGATCGTCTGCCCGGCAGACAATGAAGAAAACAGAGGCTAGGGGCGGGCCTACCATGAGGGGAACGCCCTTTCTCCAAATCGCCCTTGGAATGCTTTCGAACATTGAACAAATGGATCTTCGCGCAGCACTTTCCTTGCTGGAGTTTGTTTCGTGTGCTCAGGAGAATTGGCCCTGGGCCACACCAGAGCTGCGAAAAACCCCTCAGTTTTTTAACAGCCTTGTCAACTATGTCTCGAAATTGAAAATTCCATCATTACCGGTTCAGGATCAGATCTTCGCTACGCGAATTGCCGCTGTCGTTGCTGACCTTTGTGCTGTCTACCTTCACTCGGCCAAGGATATGCAGGATCGGACTTTTTACAAGACATTGATTCCGCTTGTGTTTTGGTACTCGAAAGACGCAGTCGATGTCTCTGCTTATAATACATCATTACACGCCAATTTGAAGAGGAATTTCGAGATGAGATATTCTGGCTGCAAGCTCGCCGATTTCAGGAGGACATCTCTGCAGCCTCGCTCTTTGGGCCGTGACTACTATTACGACATTCAATTAGGAGACAAGCTTCTTTCTTATGACTTCGCTTGGTCAGGGACTAAGAATCAAGGATTTGCCGAGGAATTCGAACGAGCCAACATCAATCTGTCATTGGTCGAGGCACAGGTGGTACGTACAGTGGTGAACTTTTACCGTACTAATGAGAAGATTCCTGATCATTTTTGTATAGAGCCTCCTCCATAGCTGGAAGTTCTTCGCGACGGAGCATTGTACGGACTTCATGGCGGACCGTGAAGTTCAAAAATCGATGGCTTCGGTCGTGCAGAGCTGTCTCGAAGCCAACATCAAGGGAGTTCCGCAAGAAGCAATATTCGAGAAGATCCAGCAAACAAGGGTAGAATTTGCACAGGCTTTACTTCAGCGGCTGGTAGAGGCTGGAGCAAAGGGTGCTGAAGTCTTCGGCTTGCTGAGAGTCGTTTGGGATGCTTTGCGCACTCGCCGCGCAACTTATGAAGAAGCCTTGGTGAACGACGACGCAGAATACTATCGCTCAGTTCTGAATGTACTCTTCCTTGCGCTGCAGTTCCACCTCGACAGCAGCTCCCGGACGGCGCTTGAAGCATCGAGCAGGAAAGCAGAGATCTCGTCCGATCTGACGTTAGTGATTGAGATTGTGAAGACCGTCGTTGCGCACGGTTTCCGGTCGTTGACTACTTATCTTCATGACCAACCGGACAAGTGTGAGCCGAAGGATTTCGCTCTACTGACCGCTATCCTGCAGACTTCGCTTCAAATCAAGAATGCGGATCGCTTATACGAGCACATTGTGTACCACATTGAAGATAACGACACGGCTAGGCACGCCATGTCACTGTTCTCATGGGCGGATCAACTAGCGGTGTCTGGGGATCCCGTGTACGGAGAGCTCAGTATTCTGTTCCTTGTCAAGCTGTCAACACTGCCGATGCTAGCGGAACATTTGGCAGTCGAAGCGGTCTTGACGAGGCTTTCCACCTGCCGGTTGACTAATGTCTTGCAACAACCCCGAGGCTTTGGACCTTTTGACGCCGTACCCAGATTGTACACCATCTGGACAGCGGGATTCCTTCCACTGTGCTTGAATCTCCTGTACCACGTCCTCCGCACCGCGCCCGAAGTGGCTGCATTCCTAAACCAATTTGAAGGGCATCTTAAGCGGGCGTCCGAATCTTTCGTTGCGGACCGCTCAGGCTCTCCATCACGACGCATCTGTTTGAGCATGGCATCCGAAGCATACTCGCTTGCGCTCATTTCCTTCATCTTGAACCGCTTCCGAGAAGCCGGTCCCAGTGCCGGGGTAGATGCACAGTCTATCCAGGACCTCAAGTGGGACAAGACGCAGGTTAAGGAAGATATTGAGGAATTGCTAGAGCGTCGGCAGAGTCTTCGCGCGCGAATTGTCGCTACGAGCGAAAAAGAAGTGGAGCTGGCACGACAGAAGCCGGTGAACTCTGCCTCGAGCGCAGAGAACCGTCTGGAGGAGAAAATTGTGAATGAACTCCAGGCAGCCCTGGTCTGCCTTGGAGGAGAGGAGGCATAATGATGATGATGTATTGAGCGGTCCAGCTGTTTTTGGCCGAGTCTACGTTTCTTACCTTCGCATCTTCAGGGTATCATTTCTTCTGCTTCGATCTAGCATGCTCTATGGGATGGATCGGATGGAGTGTAAATTATCCTGGGTAGAATATATCTTTCTTGTCTTCTTTCCCCTTGTTTTTCCGTAGCATATCCTCTAATTAACTGACATCAGATAAGCTTCACGGATAAATGTGCCGTCTCCTCATGCATCAAGAACAACCGAAACGCAACATACGGTCTCTGCCAATAATCGTCCCATGATCCATGCTCATAATTCCAATATCCATGGCATTAAAGCTAAGATCCGACTATACCGAGAGGTCCGAGATGAGCCTCGGAGCAAGGAATAAGCGATGCGGGGAAATGCGGGGAGAGCTTTGTTTCTCTGGACACGCCAGCGACGTAGGCTAGCATCATGAAGAATGTAGGCTACGTATTGGGACACAAAAGATAGAAGGGGGCATTTTAGGACTACTTTGAGCTTAGCGGGGTATTCCGAGGGGGAAATAACTGGGGCCAGTGAATGGTCTCTGTATCTGGTCTCTGAGTATATATAGTTTTCTGCTCACTTGCTATTCTCAACGAACATCCTTTGAGTACGAGGTCGATAACCGTCTCAGACTTCACAGGACAGAAAGATATTCAAGATGCCCTTCAAATCGCGCTATCACGTCGATATCCCAAACACCCACCTCGCCTCACTCCTTCTCAAGTCGCCCACGCACCCTCTCTCGTCAACACAGCGATGCTTCTCCGAAGCCGCCCGCCCAAATACCCATTACTTCAGCACCCATGACTTTCGACTGTGGAGCCAGCGATTCGCGGCTGGACTGCGCAAAGCTGGTCTGCAGCCCGGCGACCGCATATTGCTCTTCTCCGGGAATGATCTGTTCTTCCCTGTCGTGTTCATGGGGATCATCATGGCTGGAGGAATCTTCACGGGTGCCAATCCGACGTTTGTGGCGAGGGAGCTGGCTTTCCAGTTGCAGGATAGCGGGGCTTTGTTCCTCCTTTGTGCGGACGTGAGTCTTGATGTGGGGATCGAGGCTGCCCGGATCGCCGGGTTGAGCCGGGATCGGGTGTTTGTGTTCAATAATGCGATCTTTGATGGGCAGGGAGAAGGGAGGAAAGGGTGCCGCTACTGGGGGGAGTTGGTAGCTTCCGTTGAGGAGGGGAGAGGGTTTGTCTGGGATGAGCTGTCGACGCCCGAGGAAGCTGACCGAACTCTTGCGCTGAACTACTCGAGCGGCACGACTGGCCGGCCAAAGGGAGTAGAGATCACGCACAAGAACTACGTTGCCAACATGCTGCAGTACAACTACATGTTTTACCTGAACCCTGACTGGAAGGAGAGGTCGGCCAGGGCGCGGTGGCTGTGCTTTTTGCCGATGTACCATGCTATGGCGCAGAACATTTTTATCGCGGCTGCGCTGAGCCGTGAAGTGCCTGTCTACATTATGCCCAAGTTTGACTTCATCAAGATGCTCGAATATGTGGAGAAGTTCCGCATCTCAGACCTTATCTTGGTGCCCCCGGTGGTGGTTGCATTGGCCAAGCACCCTGCGGTCAAGAGCGGAAAATACGACCTGAGCAGCGTAGAGGCCATCGGAAGTGGAGCAGCTCCCCTGGGACGAGAAGTGTGCGAGGAGGTTGAGGCCCTGTGGCCACCGGGTCGCATTAATGTCAAGCAGGGCTGGGGAATGACCGAGTATGGATTCCTCGATTTCGATTGCGAAGAGTCCTGACAAGCTAATATTATGTCTCTAATAGAACCACCTGTTCGATATTGGGCTGGAACCCAGCTGAAAAGAGCTATAGTGCGTCAGTTGGAGAGTTAAATGCGAACTGTGAAGCGAAAATCATGGCCGACGACGGAGTGACAGAGTATGGACGCAACCAACGCGGCGAGCTCTGGGTACGAGCCCCAAATATCATGAAAGGTTACTGGAAGAACCCCCAAGCAACCAAGGAAACCAAGACGGCCGACGGATGGTTGAAAACAGGGGACATTGCATACGTGGACGACCTCGGGAGGTTCCATGTCGTCGACCGCAAGAAGGTTAGCCCAAACTCTCTCACAGCACTGCAACCCATGGTGCATGACTTCTGCAGGAAATATGTAAGCTGACAGTGCCGATTTCGGATAGGAATTGATCAAGGTGAAAGGCAACCAGGTGGCACCGGCAGAGCTGGAGGCCCTGTTACTGGAACATCCTGCGGTTGCCGATGTTGCCGTCATTGGTGTGCAAGTGTAAGTAAATCGACCACTAATGAGACCCATTGCTAACGCTAGTTACCTGAATAGGAATGACGACGAGCGTCCTCGAGCGTATATTGTGCTAAAGCCAGGACACGACGCCGCCGCGGACGACATTGTCGCCTTCATGGATGGCAAAGTGTCTGCGATCAAGAGAATAACTGGTGGGGTAGTTTTTGTCGACGCCATTCCTAAGAACCCATCTGGAAAAATTTTGCGCAAAGTGCTTCGAGAAAGAGCCAAAGAAGAGACCCAAAAGAATGGGGTCACTGCTAAGCTATAGAACGGTGATTGGGTGTTTTTCCATTTTGACATGATTTAGCTTAGTTTGCCCCTCAGTTCATGCATATTTATACAGATCGACTGTCACTCCCAGAGTTCTGGTTGGTGCAGGATACTTGAGATCTGTACAGAGTTTGATGGATCAAGCATCCGCATAGATAGCCTGCTCTCCGGGCTGACCAGGTCGTTGGGTCAATAGGTCAGATACATGAGACAGGAGAGTCGATTAAACATTCTCGGTATTCCAGAAAGGAAGTTCTCCACGTCCAAACAGAAGCCAATTTCGCCATGGACGACTGGAAAGGTAACAACATTGATACAGTTGTTCCGTCGGAGTCACCGAAAGGCGGCCACTTTCTCGCCCCTCGACGGCACCGCTTGCTCATATAACGGGCAAATCTCGATAATGGCGAGTCATATGGATCGCCTGCGTGAAAATTTTGTTAGCACATGTTTTGATTTGGGTCCATTTTTATTGAATGATTCATTGGTGTGTACAATCGTCCACACTGGATCAATGTGGCCAATTATCAACAAACCTCGGAAGCGACGTACATGGACCTCATTGTCCTGCACTAAGGAGTATCCATTAAACTTCAAATGACTATAGACAACTGGACTCAATTCTTTGGAATAGAAGGGGGAAAAGGGAGAAAGATGGTTGAGGAGAAGGATGAGAGGAGGAGAAAGTGACTGGTGTCGTGGTTTCCCCTCCCAAACATCACCTGTCTCCTTGTTTTTCTTTCTTACAACACTGTAAAGTTAAACTCAGCCAACGGAATGGCTGACTGGGACAGCCTCATCGGATATCTAGACTACTATATCGTTGATCCAGAACTATGGGTCTCCAATGCCGACCTATTATGGTCAGATTGATCATAGACCACAAACTTAGTGAGTACTTAGTCTGATTTAGGTGATCGTCGCTAGAACTGCCTACTCGCTAGCCTCTGTTTCAGGCGCCACGCTCTGAGCCCACCCCTTCTGGTGGCGCATCTACACCAGCTGAACTTGCCAGGCTTCCGAAGTCCAGGCATTCTTGCCCCAGGGAGCTGCCCTATGAGGACGTGGGGAGACCTTTTGTCTGTCCTCCCGTGTCCTCATCCATTTCATCAGTTCCGTGGCTGATCACAATGCAGCTGGACCGGGATGGGCCCCTCTCTTAGTCGTCGGGCCAGATTGCCAGAGAGAACGAGACGCACGATATTTATGGTCATCTGGGTTAATCTGTGGAGTCTATTCGTTTCCAAGCCCCAGGCTAGTAGACAATGACATCTTTCTCTCTGAATCAAATGGGGTGGCCGGAATGTAACTTCCTGTGTCTTGTGTTCAATCAGCCTCATCTTATAAAGCCGAGGAGAGCCGTCCCGAGAGACCTGGATGTTTGCTTCATTTTTCTGATGATGTGCTTCTTGTAGCTTACTCTTACGTCTACTACACTCCAGTCAACACTGCCTGGCAAACATCCATCCTCTTGCTCTTCCTTTCTCATCTTGTCCTTCAAATTTCCCAAGACATACCCGTGAGGGCTGATCTATCCTTGGGGTGTGTTACACAGCTTCTGGTAGATTCCTTGTTATAAGGCTTGTTGACAACGGTATTAGGATACTTATCCTGATCCAGGTTAAGAGGTGGCGGAGGACAGCCGCTTCATGGAAGGGGACAACGCACATCTGGCAATGAGCCCTGGAGATCACTGCTGGGCCATACCCATAGTCTTGCAAGCACACTCACTTGGGATCGTATTTGCCGCTCTTTTAGTGATCTGCAGCGTAGGCCTAGCGCGGCTTATCAGACGTCGACGACAAGGGCAGTACGGACTGCCTATGAGCGAGATGGATTCACAATTCCAGAGGCAGGAGAAGTATGGTCGCGAGCAGCAGACGAAGGAACTGCAACAGAGTACGCTCAGTTCAGAGGCTCCGTCGCACAAAAGCTTCCCTTTGCCTTCGGCTTGTGATATACTGCAACCCCTGTCACAACTTGCACCGTTGCCGTCAAGTGGCTATCTTGCCTCTATTTTGGGATGTCAACCGAGTAGAGGCAAATTGGCATCTGAAGAGGATGGCCAGTTGCAGCAGTCTCCTGCACTTGCTGAGTCCGAGTCCAGGGCCGTATCTGAGGGGAACGTCTCCGATCGCGATGAATATTGCCCAGCGACCTCGGATAGGAATGCTGGCTTGGTCGGCTCATTCGCTTCGGCCTGTTCTAAAATAGAAAATGAGGATCAACGCCGGGACGAAGCTTCAACAGTACCTGCTGCATGGCCCGTTGAGACTCACAGACAGGAAGTCTATGAGTTGCCAGGCTCCGAAGAACTTCATCCACCTAAGAGACGAAACCAAACAGTCCACTTTCCTCAGGTCGTGGATGCAGAAGGCACCCGTTCCTGGAGGCGGGTGATGGTGGAATACAGCTGAGGT